ATATTAAGAAATACCTAAAAATAGTTTTTTCCTTCATTTCCTAAAGGGAAACTGAACAAAAAGGATTTTCTAGCATCTCTTAAAATTTATGTAATTCAACTCAAAAAAATGTCGTAGAGAGTTTGGAGACGTGTTATTTTGTAGAGAATTGTTCTGTCACTCAATGTAATCAAACGAACTCTTGATGTTCGAGTTCCAGGAACTCAAAAACTAAGTTTGAGTTTTTCTAGAGATCTTGGATTCGAGGAATATTGTGCAGATTTTATTTCTCTTAAATCAATTTCCTCTATTCAAGTCACTATTTTGATTTTTTATGCGAATTACCATTACGAAAAAAAAATCGAAATTAAATTTATATGATCAATTTTTCAAGTCACTGTATACACTATTTAAAAAATAAATTTCGAGATCGAACAAACTTGACTTCACAAGGCTTCATTTACTGTGTTCTTCTTTTTTTTTACCTCTAACACATGTTGTTTTTTCTCTTAGGAGAAGCAATAGAACAATTAGGTAATCGTTTAAAGCAAGATCTTCAAAATGAATGTTCAGCAAATGAAGGAGCATGTAAGGTTTTATATAGCAACTAAAAAAATGAAAAGATTTATTTTAAATTAACAGTACTTTCAATCCAATCTACTGATTATGGTCTTTCACTTGAAAATGAAACAATGGGTGTACATTTATTATTAACAACATTACCAGCTAATTGGCATACACTTGATCCAACAATACATTTAGATCGAGCGATGTGTAAACGTAATTTTAATGCTACAAAACATGCAAAATGGGTTGATGAAGTTTGTATTCATCCATCAAATAAAGTTCTTGTTCGTTTATTAAAAGATTTACGACAACGTTTTCATGGTCTTGAACCACTTAATCCATGGTTAATTAATTTACTTGCTCATCATTGTGTAACAAATAATAATTCAACTGAACAATTACCACCTAGCTGTGCATTTAAGTAAGTAAAAATAAAAACGAAAAATTTATTATTTATTATCAATAAAAAAAACAAAATTATTTTTGTTCTTTTCTAGACGAGCATTACAACTTTTATCAAGTGGTCTATTTTTACCTGGTTCAAATGGTTTATATGATCCATTTAGTGATGCAAATATAAATCCATCTCGATCACATACAATGATGACACTTGAAGAACAAGATCGTTTATGTTATACAAGTCAAACATTATTACGTGCTCTTGCAATTCATCCAAAATATGTACTTGGTATTGAAAATGGACCAGATATATTTGCCGGACCATGTCAACTAAATGGTGTTCTATTTGTACCAAATGAACCTGTTGTATTTGATAATGAATCGAATGGTCATACAATAAATGACGGTCAACAACAATCAATGTTTGTGGAAGTCAATAGTTAAATATCATTTGAATGAGATAGAATTGAAAATTTATTAATAAAAACTAAATCTATTCTATTGCTAGTTAACATGATTTATGTTGTTTTGTTTCTTATTGTATAATGAAAAGTGACGATTTGTGACTTGATGAAATTTTTCCTTAAAACAAAAAAGATATAGAAAAATGCTTTTTTTTTTTTATTTAAATTTAATATTCATCCATATGAATTTCCTTATTTTGTACAATCTCATCTATTTAAGATGGTATTATGTAGGATTATCAATAGAAATTTTAATCTTTTAATTAACTAAATATCTAAATGATTCAAAAAAGAAGATAAAGTTATAGTATATATGGGCGTGCTCCGCCATAGGAGGCCCCAACTTCTTTTTTGCTCGTATAGGATCAAACCAATATTTTAACAAGGTAATTTTTTTACCATTTATAGTATATACGTTATGCTAAAAAACTATTGTTGTTTGGGCTCTATATCCTATTGAAAACAGAGATTTACAAATACTTTCTCTATAGATCTTCCTTTAAAGTACTTTGCAGCTGACCTTTTAATCTATATCATCTCTTATACCTATTTATCATTTTGTGGGGACGTGTGAGGAGATGACATTCTTTGTTTTCTCCTTTCTTCTCTGAAATTTATCTTTTCCTTAGTATATATTTTGTGCATAATAACATTCTATTCAGTCGGTTGTATCCTTGTCTTGATCACATTACTCGTGTCCGAATTAAGAATATTTTTTCTTTTGTGCATTCTGTCTTTTGTCGAACAAATTTTCAGTCAAATACAGACACAAATACTTTACATTATGTCATCTTCGCAAGTAGAATGGGGTTGTTCTCAATGTCGATCAATCATTACTGATTATCAAAAATATTGTGCTAATTGTCATTCTATGTTAACTTGGAAATGCATTGGTTCGAGAAGATCTGGATTATATAAAAACTTTTTTCGACATCGTGATAACTGTATTCATTGTACATCAGAAATTAAAGATAAACCACAAGGAGTCGAAGAGAAGCATATTGCTATTCAACAGCTTCAAATCTTGAATAACGGTGAGTGAAACTTAGGCAATGCATTTAACTATAGTTTTCTTTATGAATATTTTTTATCGTGCAGTGTTGGACAGATTAGGATTGTTAATACATTTTGGTTTGTTTGCATTTTGTAGAGCAGCGTCCGTGGTCTGAATGGAGTCGAACGAATCAATCCTGTGTACAACATACAGGACATGATAGTGAACAAGTACATCAATTATATTCGATGTGTGAGCAGTCACTTATAAATTATTACTTGCACAGAACCAAGCAGCAATCGGACAATGTCAACACAATATCTTTATCTCCTATGAACTTACTTGTGGTGACATTATGGTACTTGAAACATTATCACTCGGAACGATATATTGCCACTGAAGTATACTCAAGTCCATCTACAATACATCGTATTTTAACCGAGGTAGTGGGTATCTTACATTCGTGTGTATATGAAGAACTGGTTTCATTACCAATCGATATGGACAGTAGACATACCGCTCATAGACCTGAAGAACATCATAAATTAATAGTTGACACAACTTCTATTGCTGTTCCTCAACCTGATGATTCAAAACAACGTAAAGCTTACTTTAATTCAAAAAGTGCAACGAATTATGCATTTAAAGTGCAAATAGCTTGTGACTTTAATTATCGAATAGTGCACGTTTCCGAATGTTATCTTGGAAGCGTTCATGATATAACAATTCTACGAGAGTCGGGTCTATTAGAACATGTAAACGACTCTGTACAGATTATTGGTGATAAAGCTTATATTGGAGAAGAATTTGTCATCACTCCAAAGAAGAAGCCTCATAGAAGTGAATTAACAACTGAAGAAAAGGACTTCAACTATAACATCAATAGTGCAAGAGC